CTCGTACAATTAACAAAATTTTATAATGAAAAGGGTGAAAATGCTTCCAGATTTTAATGAAAATTTGGTTAACAACGGAACTGAACTAATGAAGATTGAAATTTTATGGCATGATAATCAAATTGAAGTTAACGCGTGAAAATTTTTAACGTTTACGACACGATTATCAAAGCATAAAAATCGAGGGAGTTTTCATGCTGATTCTACCTTGACATTAATGAAGATTTCAGAATGTCTAATGCATTTATAGCATTATTGTTCAGTCTGGTAATCCTAAACTGCTTCACTTTTACTGCATACAAGTTATTTTATATTGATTCAGTCAAAGAAGCTAACATCACAAATAGTTTCAGCATACACGTTAACAAAGTGATGATTCATTTACACTCATCATTATCGTTACTGACATTAAATAGAAAGTGAATTTACAGTGTTTCTGAGTTGTGTTTCATGTGAGATAAATTCTTTCAACAGATAAAAGCAAGCAAATGTTGCGTGAATTAGGCTACGAGCTTTTTTGGACAGAATTGAACACAAAATTATCATTTTGGTATAGTCTTAAATGATAATGTGTGTGTGGCATGTAGAATTGCCATTTATTTCTCCATAATAGCTCATTAATCTGTCAAGAATGTGAACCGAAGCAACTATTTAATGCAAATTTGTTTTTTTTTGTGCTTGCTAATAATATGTATAACAAAAGGCTGCCAAAAGAGAATTCTTGTGACCTCGAATGAAGAAAACTTTTTTTACATGCTTTATTGCTGTTGAATTTATGTTTAAATAATTTCAATATTTGCTTATAACATTTTGTCTCTATTGCTTTTTATTCCTTAATGAATGAAGTTAAAGTCCATGAACTTCTGATTTTTTTTTCAAACATTTAGTAAATCCAAATATGGACAAATTTAATGTGACACCTTCGTACGGCACCAATTTTAAAATGGTATTGTGTATGAACTTACCTCACCTACGATCTCTCGAGTCAAATTTTACCTCTTTAATCTGTTTTTGAGTGCCGTTTCTATTTCATTTCCAATATATTGCTTTTGATTTTTGTTTTATAAATAGAAAAAAAATATCGTGGTCTATTCTTAGACATGATAAGAATCTACGTCTTTCATAAAAACCATAAATATTCAATTTTTCATTACTTTTTTTTCTGTCGGAAAATTCCTTTTATTATTTATTATCAGAAACAAAAGAATGAAATAAAAAATAAATCCTCTTGTGCTTAAAAATAGGAAGGAGCAAAAACAAAACAATTGCACATGGTTTGTGACTTATCGTCATGACTTCCTAAAAAATCCCCTTCATGTAAAAAAAATTTCTATGGCAAATAACATAAATTTCTATTTTTTTTTAACTGGAAAAGCTTTTGGAAACTTTATGGCATGCTTTTTTTTGTGGAAATGATTTTGTTATTTTTACGTGATCCAACATTGAAATGGTCATAATTAACATCATTTTTTTCCAGCTAAACGATAGCACTATCAAACATTTATGTGCATGCTTTGCTGAAAAGTTCATTATCTCACTGCGAAATTGAATTGTTTTCTAAGGCTTATGCAGCGTTTTTAGTTGATGAACGCATGCCATTGATTTATTTTTAAATTCTAATTTCGGATGCAATGGGATTCTCGTTAAAATTGTTCAATGAAACTTTGATAGACAAATTAAAACTGTTTTGCATAGTGAATGAATTCAATAAAGTTGAGTAAGGTCAGGATTGCAACGAACAGTTGTGAATTACTTAAGAGACATTTCTACAAAAGTTTTCATTGCTTACAAACTGTATTGACACATACTGTTGATATTTATTAAAAATGCTTCAAAAGACACAACTCTGCAACCACAAAATAATGAAAAATTTCACGAAAATGCTTTTTTGAAAGATCCATAAATTTAATTTAACATTTCACTTATTTTTAAAAAGTCATCACATTGTATAAATTAAAGCATGGCACAGATTGACATTTAGATCCTTTATACAAAAAAAAAATATTGGATACGCGAAAAGCACTTACTTTACAGTTGACATTGACTTAACAAATGCATTTCAATAAATTTCGCAAATAAAGCAAAAAGTGGTCCATAAAAAGAAGTTTAGATTAAAAGACGTGACCCGCTTAAAGCAGTCAGTAATAATTAATTTTCGGTGTATAGCTTATTGTTTTCCATACCATCAATGTGGCACAAGAGCACGACATGAAATTTCATTTGATATTGTTATGAATGAAACATTCTGAATATTCGATAAAAGCAATGATGAAAATGATGACGACACTTGTCCTAGTTTTCTAATGCTTGCTGTTCTTCTTCGTAATTATATTTCCTTTAACATTATCGTCTATGCTTCCTGTCTTCTGAAATACATTTGCGCACAACAATTGTCACATGAAATTAAAATGAGCCATAAGTAAGTTGTGCAAAAAAAACAATATAATAAGAATGTCAAGGTAAATACATAGAGAGCGCCTTGCTAATTGAAAGCGAAAAGAGAAATTGAGCAAAAAATAAAGTTTAAAAAAGAAAATAAAAGTAGTAAGTATCAACAATTTTTTCGGGAACGGAGCACTCATCCATGTGAGATTTTATGTTTCGTCTGCAAAATTGTTCACAGTTATCTATGCCTCCTTAACTCACTCATATAGTATGGAAATATATTTTGAATGTTTAACTAGCGGCACCAAAAATGTTTATATTTTTTCATGACTTTTCTTCGAAAGACATGCTTTCGCTTTTTCTATTGGTTTGAGCATTCATTATTTTACATATTTTATCATCTCACGCATGCATGCGTAAGTCTCTTAAAAAGAGATATGTACATGCTGAGAGAACAAAAAAATCGAATGAAAATTTTGAAGAAGGTGTGGCATTCAAAAGAACTTGAGAAATTATCAACACTTAGTTCCGGTCAATAGACACATTGGAACGTAAACGAAAAACTTTTTTTACGTTGAAAGTTCTTGAATATTGAATTCGAGAATTTTTAGCCTCTCTGTCTTTTAGGGTCGCATAAAAAATTGCTTCTTTTACCGTAAAAATAATATTCGAATAGAAAACGAGAAAAGTTCTAAAAAGTTTAGTCGACCCAAAAAATGGCAAAACAAACTATAAAGTATAAATATTTACACGACTGTGCTATAACATGCGTGCAATTTTCTCTCTATTTCCAATTTGAAATTATTCACTTCTCTCTTAATGTAGTCAATATAATAAGTGAGACCCGATAATGCTGCTACTGCCGTCATATTGACACAAAGTGGGTCAATTGCGAAAAAGTAAAGGAAAGAAAACGTAAACATGTAACTCGTGAGAGGCAGTAATCGATAAATACAAGCAATATTTTAGTTTTTCTGAATTGATTTGTTGTGCTGAATTATTCTTAAGAAGCAAAGTAATTTTTCGAATGGGACCTGTTATTGCCGCTATGGTGCCGTCCCAAAAATAGAACGTGAATTTTTTTTCCAGAATTTCTAGTTTGAATTGATGATCAGACTTAATTTTACGTGACTGCTTCTAAATAATCCATACTTGTTATTTATTTATCAAGAACACCTTAATTAACTCAATGAATAATGCAACAATCAAGTACAACTGCCAAAAGTTTCCGTGTCGAAAAGATTTGATAAAATTGGAGAATAATTACTTACGAAATAATCGACCTAGTTCTAGTTTGTCCTATCAATTAAACTTTTTCTACCTTGTTTCAATGAATAATCAATTACGTGACTTTATCAATGAAAAAAACTGAACCAGTAAATTGCTTACAGAAATCATTTCAAATTTACTTTATTTATTTGTGGTACGCAATTCCATCAGCTTTTGTAATGCACAGTCTATCTATTTAACAAATTGTTTAATTTTTTTCAAAAGGTCTTTGATGGATAGTAACTCAATAAGTTGATATTTCTTTAAAGGTGTGACACGCAATTGTTGTGCGACTGCTTTGTTTGCATCACATGAAAGTTTCCATCCACTGTCATTTTTTCATGCTTATATGAAAAATGCAATCTACGTGTGTGTATGTGAAAAAGTCATGCATGTGTCTCTGTTTTGTGTACCATCAGACATCGTTATGTGCTGCTGAATGTTCATCAATAATACGAAGCTCTATAGACAGACTGTTGCTTTATTTTTGTTTGTTTCATTTTCTCTTATTTTTCGTCTTGTGCTGTTTCTTAACAGTCTTCAATTTTACTTACTTCTGCTTTCCTTTGGATGAATTTTATTTTATATAAATTTAAGAGAATTGAAGTTTATTGTCCTTAATATAAGGGTCCATAAACTGTTCTAGCACGCAAAAGTTTCATTCTCTAATCAAAGAAGTTTAACATGAAATTATTTTAGAATGCCAAGTCAGGCAATAATAAATCTCATATCTAGACCCAAAAGTTAACAAACTTAATGTTATTTTTTTGGAACGGAAATTCGTAAAAGGGTTGAAAATGACGACTAGTTCATTAGAGTCTTTCAAAATCTCACAATACTGTAAATGATGATAATACCAAGTATCCATCAATTATTTGCTGCTTGTGTTGCTTTCCATGGGACTTTGCTTGTGTATCTAATGACACAGAAATCAATGAATCTCACAGTGTGATTTCTTTGTGATATTAAGAAGAAGAAGGAATGGAAAATAAGAGCATGTAAAGTGTGGAGAAAAGAATGAAAATGAAATCAATGTGAATAAGAAAGAGAAGAAAAGTTTTTCGCGTGTCATTTGCCTCGCGAATATAAAGAAAACTTCTCATCCATTTCAGTGTGTTTGCAAACATTTATGCAACATAATAACAATATTCTTATTTTTTTCGTACAACTGCTGTTGCTCCCATTTCGAGATTTTTTTTTGTCTCGAGTTTCCCAGTAATTTTTGGCAATTTCTCTTTGTCTCACAACTCATATCAATTTTCCTTTATTATATATTTCATACACGTGATATGACAATATTTTCTGCTTAATACTCTACACATTAACTTACTTGACATGAGCCATCATTAAATTGCACATGAAAATTCAGTTATTTTATTTCTCTTATAACTGACCAAAGTAATACAGTTGGTAAGGTTGACTATAACGGAATCAAGTGTAATATATTGCGAAAAAATTATTTAATTACATTATTACAAATCACAGCTATATCTCTCGATTGCAAACTATTTTTGTGTACAAAAGTATAAAGCATATTGAATGGTGTTAGGAAAATTAGAGATAATTGACTTATGACTATAATTAGCGACTGCAAGTGCATATATCTGGCTTGTTTTGACGTTGTAGGGTCTATTTTTGTGCAACTGAATTCTTTGAACTGAAAAGTACAGACTTTTGATGAATTTACACTCGGTCTAGAGTTGCCAATAAATAAATATTCAAGAATCGAACGTACAGTAGCGGCCAAAAGTATCCGGACAAACACAAAAATGTCTATAACTTTTGACTGGATGGTCCAATTTAATTCAAATTTTCACTTGAATACGTAAAATCGAATGACAATTAATAAAAATATTACTTTAATAACAAATATTTAAAACCAAAAATTTTATTTTAAAAAAACTAAAAATTGAATGGACAAAAGTATCCGGACAAAATTAAAAGTTTAAGAAAAAAATACTCTTTACTAAGTGAATGGCTTATAATGAATAGAATTTTGAGTTCTTCTGTTTAGTACTTTGTTGGGAAGCCCTTAGCATCAATTACTGCTTGACATCGTCGCAGCATTGAGTCCACCAGCTTAATCAAAACATCTATTGAGATCTTTTCCCAAGCATCCTTAATTATGGTGAACAAAGCATTCTGATTTGTAGGTTTTCGACCTGAAATTTGTCTCTCTACATGTTCTCAAAGATGCTCAATCGGATTAAGATCCGGACTTTGAGATGGCCATTCCAAAACTCGGATCTTCTTGGTTTTAAAAAATTCCTTAACGACCTTCGATGTGTGTTTGGGATCGTTATCCTGCTGGAAAATCCAACCTCGAGGCATAACACGTTTGGCATGGGGAAGCATTACTCTGTTGATGATATCTTTATAAATTTCCTTGTCCATAATACCAGTAACTCGATGAATCGGACCAACTCCATCACGACTAAAGCATCCCCACACCATAACGTTACCTCCACCATGCTTAACTGTCGGTAACTGATACTTAGGATCGTTTCTATGACCCTTTGGTCGTCTCACAAACTTTATTTCATCAGATCCAAACAACATAAACTTTGATTCATCACTCCAAAGAACTTTTGACCATTGCTCGCGAGTCCAATTAAGATGTTCCTTGGCAAATTTTATTCGGGCATTTCGATTCTTAACAGAAACAAACGGCTTTTTGACGGGACGTCGTCCAAACAATTCTGCATCATTCAATCGACGTTTAGTTGTTCTTGTACTCACTTGAACATTGTAATATTCCTTCATTTCTGCATTCAATGTTACAGCACTCTTACGCGGATCAGCTTTCGATGCATTAATTAAAGCCTTATCTTGTCTTGCAGTTGTCTTTCTGGGTCTTCCTGATTTCGGTAACACGTTATGATTATTTCTTTCTCTAAATCGTCGAACAACATCAGCTATTGTGGACTTTCCAGTACTAAATTGACGTGCAATGTCTCTGTAATTTCGTCCTTGATCTACAGCACTAATAATTGCTTTTTTAACTGGTGAACTTAAATATTTTTGAGTTGACATGATAAATATAAACAAAAAGCACAAAATACTTAACAAAAAAGCATTCGTTCAGTGGGAGAGAAGCTTTTTAAGCAAATTTCCGTTAAACTTTTAATTTTGTCCGGATACTTTTGTCCATTCAATTTTTAGTTTTTTTAAAATAAAATTTTTGGTTTTAAAGATTTGTTATTAAAGTAATATTTTTATTAATTGTCATTCGATTTTACGTATTCCAGTGAAAATTTGAATTAAATTGGACCATCCAGTCAAAATTTATAGACATTTTTGTGTTTGTCCGGATACTTTTGGCCGCTACTGTAAATGCTCCCAGCTCGTGCCCTAATGATTAACACTGGATTATTTCCAACAAAATTCCAATTCCACATGCTTTTTGAGCGGATTTATGCATTAATAAAAATAATGTTGTTCCTGCTTTATTGCAAAAAAGAAAAAAAGATAATCGGCAAAAAATGACAGCAAAATTTATCTGCAGCTACAATAAAAACTTATAAACTCGTAAAAACCGTAAAAATCCTCTCAAATGAAATAAAATCAAGAGTAAATTTCACAATCAACCGTGAACTGGATGCACAAAAAAAACACATTTAATGATGATTTGTATATTTTCTCATTTTACGCTGTCGAACACAAATGCAATAGAGTGATACATACTCTCAAGTTTTACTGTTAATCGAATGAAATAAATGAAAAATAAGAGATTCTTGTATGCGTGCATGGCATGAACACATCCAAATAACTTAAATATAAGATGATAAACTATTTTGCCAGCTGTTTTCGTCTCAACGTCAGCGACTTCTTGAAGCTCTAAAAATTAGATAAAGTGAGAGAGAAGAAAATACAGTTTTGAAACAAAAAAATTTGATGATGATAAAATATTTTTAACGTTACACGATTAAGACACTACTGACTGTTTTCACTTTTTATTCATATAAATATTATAAAAAATATTTTTACATTCATTAAAAAGTTTCGTATATGACTCATGTTATGACTTTGAATTTTCTTCTTCTCGCAGTTTGTTGTGCTAAGTGGATTAATAGTATTCATGAAATGAGAGAGAATTGCACGAGAAATGGTTCCAAAAACCTTTTCTTGATAATATGTTTAACTACTTCAGGTGTAGTTTATTATGCGTTATAATGACAATGGCTACGATAATAAATGTCCAATTTGTCAGCTTACGCTTTACTCCATTCGCTTAAAATTATTTTATTTTTTTTATCCATTATGTCACATTGTGAAAAAGAAAGTTTTATGGATTCGCAGGAGGATTACTTCTAAATAAAATGTAAATGAGATTTCAATGACAGTATGGCTGTTAATGTCTATTATTATCAGATTTATTAATACAATTATTATTTTAAATTTCTTTCAAAGACTTTTAAGGCTTTCTGATGGTTTATAAGCTAAAATTTATTTGTTTGATGTTGAATTAATCCTTTAAAGTTGACTTAAGTCTTTTTGCATAAGTATAATTGATATTAAGACAATGATTATATCCATAAATTGCAATAAATCGTGATTTGAAGATAACTTTTAGTTCAAAATATTTTAAATCAAGTCCCAAATCAAAACTGTGAATTTCAATCGTCTGATTCTCAAATTACAAATGACTTAATTCGGTCAGTGAGCAATCCAATATGCTACATAAAATGAATTCAATACCATATTTTAAATTGTCATATCTTCCTCAAATTAGTTTCTATTTCACTCTTCCTCATGATCATCACAATCGATATGATAAAAAAAAATATTGTCACTTTTTAACGCGAAAGTGAAACTACCATAACAAAAAATAAGCATGGCGTTAGGCACAGATTTGGATTGAATAAAAAGAAGTAGCAAATTGTATAAAAATATGATTAGCGTCTTGTGAAACTATGCGTTACATAGGAGTCTCATAGTTATGACACTTTCTGTCATTGAAGCAGTCTTTTTTGTTGCATAGGAAATAGACATGTCTTTATCTCTCGTCAATTTTCTCACAAATTATTTATTTATTTTTTTCTAGTCGATTATCAGAAAATCTTTCGACAAAATTGTCAAGTCGAATATAATTTTTTCACCGAATTAATCAATCTCTAAAAACTTTTCTCATCATACTAATTTTGTTGTTATTGATACACATCTGAAAATTATCAAGCTAGCTCTTGCAATGTTGCCATTTTTTACAGCAGCTAATCAATGAATGAAATGATTTTAGGAGCAGTTTATCGTTATGTCTATAATTTGCGCTGATTCTTTTATTGAAGTGAATTGACTCGGAAACTCAAAAACCCAATTTCAGGCAAATATTTCGACATTTTTTTCTTAGAATTTTAAGCTTTTGGGTTTGCTGAGCATCAAGGTTGTCTTTGTTTGAAGCTAAGAGTCACAAACAAGGAAGGCTTGAGATCAGATTTGAGAATTTAACTTAGCAGCATTTAAAGATTCTTAAGCAAATTGGTCTGTTCCTATAAATTTAACATCAAAAATTCAATGCCACAAAATTCCTCAATAATTAATTTCTTCTAAATCCAAAAATTAATTCGTTACAATGATTTATTCAAATTATACCAAAAATCTCCCCAAATACTTATCGAATTATTTTTCTAATTTCTTCCTGTGAGCATTAAGGAATCATGGGCAGCCACGTGTCTACATGTTACCTTGATTTTCGTAATGATATTTTCTGCCCACAACGTGCAGACCTACTACAAGAAAACTTTAAACATTTCCATATTTCATGTCGTGTTGTGTTTTCAATTAAGATTTCAATTGAAAATTTATGCAACAGCACCACATCGTGTGGCTTCTCTTACCATCTCATGGTTGCTTCAGAAGAATCTATTTTTAGAAGTAAAAGAATCAATATTTGAAGTAGGTAAACTGTATTAAATAAAAATAATTTTTGTTATGCAAATAGTAAGCATCATGTAACTTAGCCAACAAGATAAAATGTTTTCGTGGATAAAAAATACAAAAACTCACACAGAAAACAAAAACAATTGCGACTTAAAAGGTTGTAAAAAAATGTTCGCTGTAGAATTAAGACGCATTTTTGTTGATTAGATATCAAATTAATTTGTAATCGAGCTGTTTGGCTCTGGAAAGTGTAATTTTGTTGGTCCTGTCGGCGCCATATTAGTGACATGTGGTATATTTAAAGAAGATTATAGAATAAATTAAATATTCTACCTCGAAATTCTTTAAATCAAAGCTCCTTAATCAAATCAAACACATGACAACTGACATATTAGCGCTTACCCTGCCACCCAAAATGAATTGAGTATGCTTATTATTTCATAGAAACCAAAAAGGTAACAAAAACAAAAAAGATTTTGCAATAATTGCATTCAACAATTTACGTCTAAGCTTCAACATTAAAAATATGAAATATCTCTGTTTTGTTTGTTTGTTTGGTTGTCGATTACAAAAGCATTGCCAATCGGTTGGATTGCTTGAGGAAATGTGATTAATGTAAAGAAGAAAACAGACGGAAAAAGGAAACGATATTCGTTGCATTTAATTAAAGATTATCTTGCACATTTATATTTGTCATACGGTTTTTAGAACATTAGCACTTGT